AATACAGTATGTCTAACTGTACAGGTATAAGAACCAGTTTGTTGTCTAGTTTTTATTAATAAAGTATTATATACTTACAATAAATCTGAGCATTAAGTTGTTTTGTAAGTTGTTTATTTAATACAGTATGTTTAACTGTACAGTTATAAGAACCAGTTTGATCTCTAGCGCTAAGTGATAAAGGGGAATTTAGGATTTTTGTTGAACCATCTTTAGACCAGGTGATGTTACAATCTGGTTTACAATCAGCTAAACAGTTGACACTCTGAGTCTTTCCTTCTATAACATCTATGTTATCACTAGTAGGGTTAAATCTTATTTTCGCTGGACCATCTGTAAAAATCATGTAATTATGTTGTGCAAATCCCTTTTCAGAATGATAATCCGAATGGTTTGTCTACATTTCAATAAAAACAGAACTACAAGTATCTGAATCTGGGTGTAGCATCATCAATTTTTAAATGTGAAGACGTTATTACTTATACTATATTAATGAAGATGTATTTTCCTATGGCATTATGATACGTATTTCTTCATTTGTAGGCTTCACTGGACATTTCAATCAAAAAAATTAACATTATTTTGTGCGACAAGATCTAAATTTGTATCAAACTTTCACAAGTAAAGTAAAAACAACATTTGTTGTACGAATTTTAAATTAATTGTCTATTTAGGAATTAATTAAGAAATTTTAATGATTTGAAATAGATTGCGATGAAAATAAACTTACAATAAACTGTTACAGTAGTTGACCCTTGTCCACCAGAATTACCTCTACAAGACCATGTTGTATCATCCTGTTTATTTATATTACTTATATTGAGATATAGTGTTTTGTTGTTATTATTGATACATCCACATTTATATCTATTATCTGTTGATTGACTTTCACAAGTTGAAGATAATATACTACATAAAAAAACATCGTTTTTACGGCACTCAACAGCAATAGGTGAATCTGTAACATCACATTGTAATGTATACTTTTCACCTAACACTGCATAACTTTCAGGAACTCCTCTTAAAGTATATTGACCTGTAATATAAACAATATGATAATTAAACAACTTCTAATTATTTCTTTCACTTTGTTCATACGTTTTGTATTAAATTATCAGCTTACTAAATTATATTTGGTACAATATTTCAATCTTCTATTATTTACATTAGTTTAGATATATAAAGCTTGTCAAAGTGAAGTCTATCAAATGATTTTATCACTGTGAGTATAAAGAGTACGAAAAGTATATATGGTTGAAATATTTTGAAGGTAAAAGTCAAATCTATCGTAAAGAAATGTAAAAGTGTAAATTCACAGTACGATTCATGATGTTATCACTTTATCTTATTATATATGCACTTAGTCCAGGTTAAAGTGTAATATTTACTATTATTGTTGTGTCATTTCATTCTACATAAAGACTTTTCTTATACATGAAACTGGTCTTATAGATGTATTATATAAGAAAATATACAATGTAAATACATCTCTTACCTGTAATTAGTACTGGTAAATAAACTAAAACTATTACTATCAATATATATTTAAACTCCATGTTATTGAATAATATTCAACATGACGATCTTATCTTGTCATATATTTGGACTACTTGTGTATAGCGTTTTATTGTAAGGCTCAAATTTACTTCCTCTTTTTAACATGAAAACTCCTATATCATGTTATATATTATTGTTTAACCTGTTTTAACCTAAATACATGGTACAATATTTTAGCAATACCTAGATGGTATCACGTCAGAGAGAGTTCTCTTCAGAAACACTGGAATCTCTGTTACCAACTTTTTTGACCCCCTGTACCTCAATACCTTGATATGCTATATATTATTGTTTAACATGACCTAGATAAATACTACTGTATTTTAGCAGTGTTTAGATGGTAATCGCGTCAGAAAGAGTTCTCTTGAGAAACTGGATTCTCGGTTACAAACTTTTTAGACACACTGTACCCCGATAAATTATATTATATATTATCTCCTGGTATCTTTACTACAGAATAACCCAA